TGCGACCCACTCAAAGCCATCTGCACTGTAATTCAATCATCACACTAAGCAGTGGAAGTAATGATTACTTGGATTAGCTACAGGGCTCCAAGCCACTGTCTTAATATTGACTGGCAGTGAGAGCAAAATATGAGCTGGGCCCAGCAGCTTCGTTTCATTTTTTGGAGGATGTTTTATGATGTCTTTTAAACTTACTTTCTCATACAGCCTATAATTCTCAAAGATACATGCATGGTCTTTAAAACTGATAGATTGAGTTACAGAATGATGGATAGCATTAGGGTTGCACAATATATTGTTTCAGCATCGATATTGCAATGTACACATCTGCAATAGTCACATCGCAAGATCTGCATCGTTAAGACCTAATTATAGTTGACCAGTAGCTACAGAATTGTATTTAATTAGTGTTTTTATACAGAATTTATAAGAACAATCTTATTTTAAAAATGTGTCTTGTTTCTTGTCCAAATATTTACATTTTAAAGCAAAAACAAGATTATTTTACTTCACTGGAGAATAATTTGTGCGTTTTAAAGAAAAAACTCCTAATTTTGACTTATTTCTTCTGAAGGTGAAATCAAAACAATATTTTTCACTTGCTCGAAGAATTGTTTGATATTTGGACTAGAAATGAGACAAAGCAAAGTGATTATTCAACTTCTGTAACTGAATTCTGTTGGACCATCAAATAGAGCTATTCAAACCATCGTGCGAAACTGTATTCATATGACAACATTTAATCACAAAAAATTTAATATTGCAATATACTTTTTTTTCAATATCGTGCAGCCCTAGAAAGAAAAATTGACAGAACGACAGAATAATAGTTTAAAAAATAGATAGTGGTTGATAGAGAGAACAATAGATAAAATGATTTGTAGAACAATGGATGGATGGATGGATGGATGGATGGATGGATGGATGGATGGATGGATGGATGGATGGATGGATGGATGGATGGATGGATGGATGGATGGATGGATGGATGGATGGATGGATACAGGTTGACTGAAAAAACTATTCATGGGCTGAACAGAAGATGGAATGACAATTACTGACAGAACAAACCATTGAGCAAAAGACAGGATGATTGATAAAACGACAGAAAGAACAATCAACAGACTGATAAAACAGCTGATAGACAGAACAAACCATAGATGGACGTAATGACAAAGATTGAACAATCAACAGGTAGAATATCAATAACAAAATAACATGCAGATTAATGATAGACACAAAAAAGAAAAAAGTGAGAGATCGAATGAATAGAGTGATCAGAACAACAGACAGAATAAGAGAATGATAAACAAATAGAACATTAGATTTTTTCGATGAATATTAAAGCAATAAACATAGAACAACAGATATAGAACACAAATACAACTGAATGATGTATTAATCCCACAATGCATGCTTGGAAGATAAACATCAGCACAGGACATTACACTATTACAATTAATCTTTAAATTTGTCATAGAGAAATGTGAGATTACTGTAATGCAGAAACAGATTAATCACTGTAATCCTACAGCACAATGCTGCCACTGCTATATCATATTCTATTTCTGTTCACCGTCAAGTCATTTAATTGTAAAGAAATTAAATGCTGCACTAATGGTAAAGTACTAAAGAAGCCAGAAACATTCACTAAATCCATGTAAAAAGGAAGAACTTTGCTGTCTTTGATCAAGCAGAGCAATTCTAAAAACTAATACAGTCTCCATGCCAAAATATGCTCAAAGTGTTAAACCAAAAGGTCTTGCTTTTAGCCACTCAGCTGTTTAACTCTGTACTCAATAGTATCGTGAACTAATGAGGCATGATTTTATCATAACAGGATTTTTGCAGCACAAAACAAATGCATGTACTATATTTCAGTCAATTGACTAAAACTTTGTTACAGAAGCTAGACAGCATCCAGTCCAACCAATCACTGTCAAGCAGGAGTCTGCAGTTGCTGTGACTGGAACTAATTGGCTTCTGGGTAGCTTTGTGTTTCCAATACAGAGGTGGAGCTTTACATAAAAGCTAACCACCACATTCACAAAGCCGTATCACTCTCTGTTTGAAGACCCAGATTCATTGTTTGTGTGTGAAAAACTAACTTGTCTGCAAAGTGCGACTAGGTTACATGAACATGTGAACTCAACACACCTAATATGAGTCAACAAAAACAATCATGACCTGAAATAACCACCAACAACAGACGAAATACTCTAAAATCAGAGGCAGGGTTTATCCCGCACACATATTCAGTGCCAAACGCTGTCATCGTTTACAACATACATCTACATGTTGCTTCTGTGGCACAAAGCCAAGTGATGAAGCTCACTGGCAGCTCGCTCTCCCTCTCCTATTGTGAAAGTGCAGTGATGTGGATGCACCTCATGCTCGTTCACCCCATCATTACAGGGGGCAGTGTTTAGCTGGGCAGGAGTGTGTGTGTGTGTGTGCCACACAGGAGAACAGGCAGAGGGGAAAGCAGACAAGCGCTGAGACATAGCCTGGTGCTCAGAAGAGCGTCGTGACGGCTGTGGCTCTCTGCCTCCAGCCCTCAGGGTTATTCTAATCCAAACACGCTTGGCGCAGACAGGCATGTAAGACAAAGAAATCTCAGTCGAGCTGTTGTGTGAGACGCTGCTGATAATGTCACAGATGTGGCGGAGGAGATTGAAAGCAGACCTCAGTTTGAGGTGTTCAAAGAGGAGCATCAACAAGAAGCTCAATTCAGGTGGGCATTTTAATGTTCACACTCGCTTTTCAGTCGGTGATGTGAACCTGCTAAGCAAAGCTGGTCCTCAGCGGGCCTTCTGAAGTGGTGATTTTGTTTCCATTTCTCAGTTATATAAAGCATTTCATGGTCACCAAACAGCTGCGCCTTGATGTTTCTGCCTCTTGATAGACATTTATTTCCAAAACAACCCAAATGAGATTTACGTAACTCTTATTTTGTGAACAAATAACATTCGTTAAAGGGACAGTTCGACCAAAAATCTCTGGTTCTTGATTTATAAAATGCAAGAAAACGGTACAAGCAAAAAAACCTAAACAACATTAAAAGGATAGCTTACACATAACTGAATATTCTGTCATCATTTACTCATCCTTCACTTGTCACTATCTGGTTTAAGCTTTTTTTTCTGTTTAACAAAGCTATTTTGAAAAATGTTGGAAACCTGTGACCATTAACTTCTGTATGGTTTGTTTTACTACAATGGAAGTCAAAGGTTATAGGTTTCTTACATCTTTTTAAATATCTTAAACAGAAAAAGGAAACTCAGAATGGTTTGGAACCACCTGAGTAAGAGTAAAAGCTTAGCAAAAGTACATTTTTTGGTGAACTGTCTCTTATGGCATCTGATAAATTATGAAGAGAAATGAGCTTCATCACTTGGCTTTGTGCCACAGAAGCAACATGTAGATGTATGTTGTAAATGATGACAGCGTTTGGCACTGAATATGTGTCTGTGCAAAACAGAAAAACATCGTTTAGAGTAGGGCTGAACTTTATAGCATTGATATGGCAATGTGTCTATCTGCAATAGTGATATTGCAGAATTAGATTATTTAATAAAGATTAAACAAAAAAGATATTATTAAATGACATTATATATATATAACGCTCAGTTGGCGTTTCTGTGTGGAGTTTGCATGTTCTCCCTGCCTTTGCGTGGGTTTCCTCCGGGTGCTCCGGTTTCCCCCACAGTCCAAAGACATGTGGTACAGGTGAATTGGGTATGCTAAATTGTCCGTAGTGTATGAGAGTGTGTGTGAATGTGTGTGTGGATGTTTCCCAGAGATGGGTTGCGGCTGGAAGGGCATCCGCTGTGTAAAAACTTGCTGGATAAGTTGGCGGTTCATTCCGCTGTGGCGACCCCGGATAAGGGACTAAGCCGACAAGAAAATGAATGAATGAATCAATCAATCCTTCCAAATGTTATTGAGATTACGCAGAGTCACACAAGCACAACTACCACTAGAATTAATATTACAACACACATCCTCCTTCACCTCTGTAAACAAATAGCATTAGCTCATGTGTGAGTTTGCATCCACACACACATCATTAAATTCAAAAAAATTGTTTTGCTGCTTGTCCAAACTACTCACTTACAATGAGTTGAAACAACACAAGTTTTTTTTTTTTTGGCGACAACATTTTTTTATGTTCAATCAACTTACATTTGTAAAAAAAAAAAAGAGAGCGATCCTAATCAAATTGAGTTGGGATAATATGAAGGAATTGTGTGGAACACAGCATTTTTTAAAGTGTACCTGAAAGGAAGCACCAGACAGCCATGGATGGACCAATCATTTCATTTCATTTCATATAGACCTCAAGTGCAACGTCAGGAGCCACGGGTATTAATTTTTGTTTCCCCATATATGTCAGGAGTGGCAGTTTACATGCATTTTATGAATCAACGAAAATCACGGTTTCAGTCAAATAATCTTATTAAATGTCATACTGAAAAGAATTTCACCTACATCTTGGATGGCATGAGAGTGGGTAGAATAACAGCACAGAATAACATGCAGATTGCACATCGGAGCTTTCAATTATCCACTGATAACTGACAAACAATCTTGTATTAAAGCAGATGTGTTGTTCATCAGTAACAGTAGAGCTTCATTATCACATGACAGTCTGTAACATCACAGTATCCAAAACTGAGAACCATCTTGCTGGAAAAAAACAACAGCTCAGACCCGTAAAGCATTACCAGACTGGTTTATGGTGGTAGAAGCTGGTGGACCACCAAAAACCAAAATGTTTACCAAGATGACTGGTAAAGCCAGATAAGAAGCTTAATTGGTGAGGAGGACGTCCAATATAACACACATGCTTGACTGAAAACATCTCTACCCACAATTAAAGGGTAGTGTGAGTGTTCCCAGCACAGAGTATGCAACTCCTCACGATCTCTCCTCCCTCTACTATCAGTCATGACAACATTGCAAGCAATAATCATTTTTCAAATCAAAAAAAGACCTACTTGCTTTCCCGGGTTTGGGCCTCTGCAGGAGCTTCTGCACCGTCATCAGGTCCTCAGTCTTCACCGCTTGAAGTAATTCCTGATCTTTCCCCATCGTTAGTAATTTTTACATCCAAAGCATCCTCTGAATGCGTGAGCAGTGTTGCCCGGAGAGCTCCTCTGCGGATCCTCCCTCTTGCGATGGAGCTGCAGGGCGCGATGATGATGATGATGATGATGGTGGTGGTGGTGGTGGTGATGCACACTCGCGGAAGGATGCTCGAATACTATAGAGCTGGTGCAGCTGCTTCAATCAACCACAGATGTTTTTATTCCGATATCGAGAAGATACTATAAGCAAGAACAGCGACGGACTTGCAATTAACGCATCGGTGATGGATCAGATCTGATCTTCAGTCTGCGTAGCGATTGAACAGTCTGTTCTAGAAAGCCATCATGAGATAAATCGGCACTAATCACGTTTTCGTGGCGTGAGCGGAGTTGATGCGATGCATTCAAATGCAGCCAAGAAATCAATGTTGCTTTAAATTCCCTGGAGCGGCTTTTCCTGGGATCCGTGAGGCTGAGAACGCATCGGTCGGCGGTGCCATCTCTCCGTGGTTCGTGCACCTTTTATTTTTGCGCTGCGACTGCTCTACACTAGGAGCGTGCGATGTGCGTTTTCCCAGCCGTGGATTGGGCTGACATTGCTGTGGTAAATGGCTCCGCTTCATCCAGAGGGCGGACCCGGAGTGTAGGAACACCCCCCTATTCCAGTGCTGACAGCCACATGCTACCAGACTACATTCATGCACTGCTGTAAGACATGATGTTCAAAACAAGCCTTGCCCTGTAGCTGGCACTGGAAACTGAATCTGCCAAAAAAAAAGTGGATTAGAGGAGGACAGATATATCTCACCTGTGCACTGCAGATGAAAACCAATTGCATTTATTTAAAATATATTTTTCTTTATGCTGATAGTTATAATTAGTAAATAATCATGCAGCCACAAATAGATGGAAGTACAGTGAAAAAAATATTTATTGGATTTACTAAATGTTTTAAGGTGGTTGCAAAAACTTTATATGGGCTGAATTTAAACAAACAGATTAAATTTATTAATGTTCAACTTTATTTGTTTGTTTACATTCAGCCCATATGAATAGTTTGTAACCGTAAAAAATAGCAAATCCATTTTTTTTCAGTGTACAGACATTGCAAAATAAACTTCACATGAAAAATTACTCAGCAATGTTGATGTCTTATTTACTTATTAGTTAATCATTGCATGCACAAACCTTTCTAAGTGAAGAAACTTGCTTGTGAAAAAGAAAATTGCTTGAAACATGGGTTTTGTTTTTAGTCAGGATGAACTGCAAATAAAGTATTAAAGGGATAGTTCACAGACACAATCTATCATCATCATTCGCTCACCCTTAACTTGCCACAAGCCTGTTTTTGATTCTTTCTTCTGTTCAACACAAAATAAGCTACTTTGAAAAAAAAATGTTGGAAACAAGTAGCCATTTTAAATGTTTCACTCAAACTTTGCAGCGATACGTTAAGCCATGCTTTTATACCTTACAAGCATTAAAATAAGGTTAAAGCAGAATAGATTTCTTGCTAAAATAAGGATTAAAGAATTCCAACAGAAGTGCCTAACCAAACACATTAAATAAACAATGACATTAATGATCATTGTTATTTCAATAGAAATGGGTAATTTTGAGTAGAAAATGAACTCCAAATGTCAAGCAAAATCGATGTGCACAATGAAAAATTAATTATGGGAACACCAGTGTCAGAAATTGAACAGGTTTTATTTTAAAAAAATAATAAATTATATTTGCATTCAAAGAATCACAAAATTATAAACAAAATCTGAGAGGTAATAAATGAATACAAGAAAAAAAGTTTAAAAATTTACTTATAAGTTTTAGTTGAATACCTTAAATTAAACACAAACGTATAGTTTAGCAGGTTGTTGCTAGATCAGATATGGTTGCAGCTGGAAGTTAACGAGAATTATTTATATTTTTTATTAAAATTCCCATTTATTGTATTTCATTAACATCTACCCCTACCCCAACGCATAACCAACCATCACAGTGATGTTAAAACAATAGTTGTACATGTTTTAATTAAATACCCAATAAATTGTATTTTATTGACGTCTACACCCACCCCAACCCCTCCAGTCACAATACTGTAACAATATTAATTATTGTTAATATACAGTTACAAAAATGATGCTGTATTGATGTGCATATCAGCAGCTGTATCCCATCTAAACTTTACCAGGTTAACATGGTTTTAATTAATTTAATTTTAACTATCACTGAACAATATTCTGTTAAAACTAAGTTCATGTTAATGAGGAGTCTACATCAGTCTTAATTTAAAAAAAAATGACTGAAATTTGATAGAATGCTATATTTTAAGAAGCTAAAGGTGAAAATGTTCACACTAAATCTTAGAAACTGGATTATTTACTTGAAAAATGTAATACGTTTTTTTTTTTTTAAATATATACAAATTTTATAAAAACACTTAACTTTCAAATGAAGCCTTTTTAAATTTTTGTAAATTTTCTATTTAATATTATTAATACATTTAGCATTGTATGTTCACAATGCATGAGCTAATTAAATGAACAACTGTGTTAATTAAATAATGAAATAAAATAAAATGCCTATAGTTGCTATAGCTAATATCAAATGCATAAACTAAGGCTGACTAATTGAGTAATATTTTAAAGTGTTTCCAAGCACTTGTAAATGGATAGATATTTTAAAGAATTCTGTCATTCTGCACTTACATTGGATGAAAAACACATACACATGCACACAAGGCATAAAATAACACTTTCAGTTTTGTTGTGCTTACCTCTCAGACCCAGCAAAGGCTGTCAGTTCTTCAGTTTGAAGGAGCCTGAAGATTACAGAGTAGGGTACAAAAAGAGTTTGGCTGCATGAAGCCTGCAAAACAAAACTGTTCCCTGAATGCCCAGCCAGAGTTTTTGTCTTTACTAGATGGGGAGCCTTAAGTCAAAGCACAATTACTTTCTTTCAGAGCAGGATCCAGTCATGACTGTCATGTTCTCTTCACAGACACTTAACACTTTACCACCTTTAAAATTCTATGCACGTTTTAAGTATTTTTGGAGATTACAAAAATTTGAAAACAACTGATCAGCATATGAGGAACAGTTTACCCAAATAGTTTTGTCATCATATACTATTGTTCCAATTATCTGTGGAACATAAAAACAGATTTTTGTTTTTTGTTCTGTCCATGATGACAAATATGGTTTAGCTTCTAATTGTCTGGAAATCCATCATCACTCATTGACAAATAGGTAAACAGAAGATACACAAATGTAAATGAAAATAAATAATACAAATTTATAAAAAAAAAAAAAGAAAAAAAAATATTTTTTTTAATTAGCTGATAGTACAACGAGACAGGGTTTGGAATGACATGAGAGTAAACAATTATACAATTTTAATTGTTAGCTTAGTCATTTTATTTTAAATTACTACTCCAAACTAAAATGCTTAGAAGTTCTGAAAATTTGATTAAAGCATATCATTAGTATAATATCCAATCCTATACTACTTAGGGCCCCAGGAAATTTGGCGACTTCCAATAAATATCTAAAAGTATAAATTAGACTTATAAACGATATGAGTTAAATACCTCATTACTTCAACTTAAATGGATTAAGTTCACAGTACTCATATAGAATAGTTTTTTAACTTAAATATTTTGAAGCAATTGGTTTACTCAAACGGTTTCAGTTGCCTTCACTTATTGGGTTTTACAGTACTCTGTTGGTTTTAGTTGTTTTAATTTATTGGGTTTTACTGTGCTCAAATTAAGTTATTTACTCAAATGGAGTACGTTCACAGAACTCATTAGGATTAGTTTTTTTAACTTAAATGGTTTGTTGCAATCAGTTACCCCAAAGAGTTTGAGTTACCTTGACTTTTTGGTTTTTACAATGTATATAATATTGTTTTCTATCATATTTTGTATGGTGAGAGTCAAACTATTAAAAATTTAATATAATTAAATATTATTTGGTATAAATTAAAATATCATTGTTATGACAATTTAATGTTATGTAATATTAATAATATCTTAAAATAAATTATTATTATTATTTCAGCATAAATTTGTCTACCACCCATCATACCGCATTCCAGCAGTTAAATTTATAATAAAATTTTTTTTTTTTGTAAATTAATTTTAAGAAAACCTCAGAAATCAATCATTTAAAAAGTAGAGCATAAAAAAAGATGTTTTATGTAATATAAAAAACCATCTAAATAAATAAAAGTAGAAAGGGTGCATTTTAGGACTGTTGGGCCCCAAAATGTTCCCAAAAAAAATGTTTTTTTTTTTTTTTGTAAAAAACTTTACGACGTCGGTGTTAGGGATAGCCTAGATTATATTGTTTTGTTTTGTTTTAGCAGAGAAATAAAAAATCATTAGAACATGACTGTGAGATTATGTGTTGTTTTGTAGAGAAAATAACATTTATAATTAATCACATTAATTACAATGTAATTAATACATTGTATTAATGTGATTAATACAATGTATTAATCACATTAATAATTACATTAATTACATTAATCACATTAATTACAAATTATTTTGTAAATAAAAATTAGGTAAAAGTAGAAAAGGTGCATTTAAGCACTGTTGGGCCCCATAGCTGACCTCCAAAAGTCACTAAATCCGCCCCTGCTGGTGTCTTTTTTCCCAACATTAAGTTTCACCTCAAACATAAGACACTCCAGACAATTGGACCTACTCCATCCAGACATCTCAGTACTGGCTGACTGTGATTCAGCGCCATCCAGTGTTACAACACAGAAAACCCAGCTCTATGATGCCATAATCACGCATCTCGCAGACCTCCAGTGTTCACTGCGCGCATTACAATTCAGCTGTCAAATATTTGCCCAGAACTCAGTGAATACAGCGGGAGGTGAATTCATCTCCTCTGAAACCAAAACTATCATATTTCACTTCATCTCACTTGTTCTAAACCCGTTTGTTTTTTTTTTTATCTTCTTTTAAACACAAAAGAAGATATTTTGTAAAAAAATAAAAAATAAATAAATAAATTTAACCTGTAACCCAGATTCACAAGGAATACATTTGAATGTGAAGGCTGAAATTGAATAAAGTCAGTCAAACTTTGACTTTTAATTGCTTTAATTCTCTGGAGAATGATCAGTTTACACACAGACAGCCTCTGTGAGTGAAAGGATCCCAGATGGGCTCACACAACACAATCTCACTTTCAGATAAGAATTCTCTAAAGCTCCTTAACCAGTAGATTACACATGGCTGTAATAACACAGGGATTATAATGCATTTGATCTTTACTTTAGCAAAACCTCAATCAATCAATCAATCAATCAATAATACCAATATATAATTGTCAACCATCAGTCAATGATGATCAATGGTAAAAATTCCCATCACATGTTCAACAGAAAAAAAAAAGAAAAAACTGAAACAGGTTTGGAACAAGTGAAGGGAAAGTAAACGAATAAAGAATTTTATAGTACTATTTCCTTAGGAATAAACATGATTCTGTTGTTACAGCGCTTCAGAATTTATACAACTCCCTATAGGTAAAAAAAGGAGTGATGACTCAAGCTGTTCCCCTTTTATAAGACCAACAGATGAAGACAGCCTCTGTATATAGGACAAAATATCTTAAACCACTGAAAATGGAGCCGGCGAGGAGAAGACTGCTGCTGATGGACTGAGGAGAGCTTATTTATGCTGAAGACTGAATGATGGACAGGACAGCATATACTGTACATGTACTAAAACTGAATTGCTGTAGTCTCACATTGTTACACACCCAGAATTTAATGATGACAAAATAACACTGTAGACTATTTTCATGGTCTACAAAAAGCAGCTACTAAAACCCTTCAATGTGAATGCCCACACATACAGTAAACACACACCCTAATGGCAGATTAAACTGCAAACACTCTTTAACATTAAACGGCCACTGAAAACACCACAAATGATTCTTAAAAATATTCACATACACTGTAAAACAT